GGTGTCATGAGTTCATCTGATCCACTACTAATCTAAGTGCAGAAAGGATACTTACTGATCTACCACCAGAGAAAACAAAGGACTGTGTTCTATTTCAAGATCTTCTCTGTTTTGTGTCTATCACAACTTCTGTCCCTAGCCAAACATTCCTGAGAGTTATCCCAGTTGTATCAGTGTCAGTCTTATGGTGTCATGTTGTCTATATATTTTCATATAGGATATTTATCCGTGAAATTCATGAAATTTAACCTTACATACTCTGTGAAGTCTATAAAAACTTCACCTTGGTAACCAAATTACAAGATGTAAGGGAAAAAAGACATGGAAGTGTACACAATTGCATGTCTCCCACAGCCTTGCTCTAAGTGAGAACGATGAATGCCTGGTGGAAGTCGTTGCTGGGAGGATTTTAAGTTTTCCATGTCCTGATTTCCATTGGAAATTGGCAATGCAGTGTGGTTGCCAAGGTAGAAAATTGAGTTGTGCAACTGGTAGGTCTCTTCCAGACAGTGTGACCTCAGATACATGACTCAACCTCTATGTGCCTATAATTCTCCCATCTGTAAAAATGGAAATGTGACCTCACTTATTTTGGGGCTCCAAATAACATTTGTAATGCTCTTTAAATTTGTCAGAAAGAAAGACCCATTACACACTGAAATCTACATCCCCAGAGAGCATTAAAATTATCCTATTAAATCAGGGGCCTGGGGAAATCGAGATGTGTCAGGTTCAGTATTATTTACCTGCTTATTGTCTGCCAGAGTGTTTCCACTTGATTGGCATATGGATAATTGTCTAATTGGAATACATTCAGTTGTAACCACCAAAGAATGTAATAGTGCATATGTTTAATGCCATACTCTCAAATGTTAAATTAAAATTATGCTGCAGTCAGCCAGTCCAAGCAGGAGACACTGCTGATTAAGTTCTAGCTACTGTGAACTTCTGTAATTTAGACACATTGGTACTTAAAAATTCAAACTAGAAAGTCTCATAAATTTCAGTGAAAAGAACCAGAAAGACTGACTTAAATTATCTAGTTGTGAACTAACTCACTGTTTTCACAGGCCATGTAGTCAAATAAAGAATAGCAATTTTGAATCACCACTATTTTAAATACATACATATTAGATTCACAAGTATATACTTTGTAAACAAAACAAAACATTAATTTTGTAAAATGCAGAAACATGGTTCTAAGCATGGTGATTTTATTTTTTCCTTTGGTGGTATCTTTTTCTTTTTGTGGACATGGAGAATAAATTAGATAATTATAAATTTGTTGATTAAAATTATTTAACCTTTTAAGAAATATTCCCCTCAGAGTAAGAAGGATATCTGAAACTGCCAGAGTAATGAATCAGAATGTCTTAAATGAAGCTCTTGTGCTCCCCTGAAAGCTTTAAGTTTCCATCTGTCTAGAACAATAAATTATCTGGTGATAGAACTGCAGGTAGTTTTTGTTGTTGTTTGCTAAATCATGGTTTGACTCTAAAGAAGCAGGGAAACCAGATCAGACATTCATTCATCCCTTCATTCCTTCGTTTTCTTACTGTCTACTTTGTACCTGATATAACCTGATTATTGGTGGATGTAGACAGGTGGGGAGATAGGTATGAAATGTAGTATACCTTAATGTGGGTTTTGCATGCATAGATAGTAGATAAACTAACTTTACTTGGGCAATTAGAGGATATCTTTCCTGAGGAAGAACCCAAGACTACTGCACATAATTGAGATGAACCCAAGGCTCCTGCGTATAATTATGTACATTTATCCTGGGCAAGAGCACTAGGCCAAAAGGGTGACAGGGAATGAAACCAAATGCCTATCCACCACCGGCAAGTAGTCATGTCTACCTGAGGATGGGCCTCTTTTGAGTTTCACAAAGGCATCATATGAGTTGGTAGTGGCCTAAACCAACATTGGAGTTAGGGCTTGAAGACTGAGTAGAAATTTGGAGAAGAATTCTGAGTAGTAAGCTTGCCATAAGTCATTAAAGGACCTGGCATATCTAGGAAAAATAAATAATAGATAAGTAACTTTCTGGGGGAGTAGTAGTGTTTTTGAACCTGGAAAAACACTGATTCTTAGGTGGTCAACTCTCTCAGAAGTATATGTACATGTTGGGGGATACTGGCAGAATCTAAAGGAAAAGAGACAGTGGACTGAACTATGACAGTGAGAAGATGATGCAGAGGAATAGGCAAATGGGTTTTGAGGTTGTGACAGAGGACAGGGCTTCAACTCTGGATACCAGGAGGGGAGACTTGGGAGGTATGAGAGGTAGGGAGAGAACACGCTGATCAGGACATTTTGAAACATGGTCACTTAAGGGTCTAATGAGCAGGAAGAGAGAGGCTGAGCTGTGAAGACAGCTTTATGAAGCACCAGCACATGAGATGAATGTGTGGCTGAAGTCATGGGCACAAATAGGATCACCAGAGAGAGCATATGGTAAGAAGAAAAGAGCTGGCATATGAGCTGGCAGTTAGCAAAGCACAGTTGATGTCAGCGAGAACAGCTTGAGTAGCGTGCTCAAGACTGAAGTCACGCTGCAACTGACTAAGGATTAAAGGAATGCCACAGGAAGCAATGGTCCTCATACTACTTACGCACTAACATTATCTGTGAAGGTTTTAGAAAAATAATCAATGCCTGGGCCCCACCTCTAGATGTGTAGTTAATTGCTCTCTGTGGGACTTAGAAATCCGTATTTTTAAAGCTTTCCAGATAATGTTAATGGACAGCCAGGATTAAGAATCACTGCCCGTGATTATGCTTTGAAAGAGTATAAATAAAATCCTATAACTAGAAAGCATGTGATGAAATACTTAAAATCACAGAGAATCAGGAAATGTAGTATTTTTAAAGATGAAAAATCTTTATATTCTATTATTGGTAAAAGTTAGGAAATTGAATAATGCTTTTCCTGTGGATATTTCACACTGCTAGCAATAACAGTTGAGATTTGTGTCCAAGTAGTGTTTCTTTGTCTTTCCCTATATTAACTTTTCTCATTACTAAAGCAGTATGTATTTTGGGGGTAGGAAGTGCATAGGAAAACACAGCATGCTTGCCCTGGGGTTTACTGGTGCTGTTTCCTGCTTTGGCACCACATACAGGTTTAAAGTTGTACATTAGTACAGATATACCAGAAAATTAACAAACAAAACAGAAAAATCTATAAATGCACATACTCAGAGACAGTATCTGAATATTGTTCTTTTCTATGAATATGTTGGCAAATTAAATGTAGCACTTTTATAACCTGGACTGTTTTTTTCTGAATAATGTATTATGAGCTTCTTTTATGTCTAGAGTTTGTATAGCTTCATTTTTAATGGTTGCATGCATTCCACTATAGCATTGTCACTAATGTAACCATCTTTCTGCTATTGGACATATGCTATTTCTATATTTTGCCATTTAAAGTCTAGTGAACAAACAAGCTACCTACTTTTTAAAAATAATTTTCTATCCATTATTGGGCTCATTTTCAAAGGAACATTAAAAATTGGATTTGAAATTGTCTGGGTGAAAGCTAAAAATTCATTTAGCATTACCTAAGTCAGAGCACCAGACCCTCTTGGGACTGCTCTGGGATCTGTCATGAATAAGCATGCAGGGACAGTGTCATCCCTTCACTGTCCAACTGAATTGTTGTAGGTACTTGTCGCCATGCCAGAGGACAACAGAGACTTCCTAGCTGGTGTACTCTAGCTAAATGATGCATAATTAAATCACACAAACTGTTAAGGAGCCATCTGGGGCATGTGATGCCCTCACCTATGACAGGACATGGGCAGATGGCAAAATAGGAGGTTCTGAGGTTTTAGAAAATTACAAGGAAATCACTGGTTGTACTGGAGAAACTAATGTACATTCTTAAACCTGTATGTGGTTCCTAAGTAGGACACAGCACCAGTAAGCCCCATGGCAAGCACTCTGTGTTTTCCTGAGCACTTCCTACCCCAAAAGTCCCCCAAACCAGTAGTTATGAAGATTTAAGTTAATCCTTAAGTACGAGAAATTCAGTGCCAGTGTTTTTTCATGCTCTGGTAGTTAGAAGCCTTCAAGGCAGCTCCACAGCCAGCTTTTCAGGACCTTGAAGAAACAGCCTGGATGTTGGAGACAGATCCTTTCGTAGCAGGAATACACTAACATATCCACAGCTTTAGTGAGACATTATGTAAGGTGCAGGAAAATACTCTTGTGCATTTTTATCCTGGTCCTTCATTGTCAAGAAGCTGAACACACAAAGCTGCTTCTGAGCCTGTGTTGGAGCTCTTGAATACATTATCCACTCTGGGGGTACATTCACGGAGAACTGTGTCCCAGACAATCAGGGCAGGGCAGCACAGGCTTCCTGGCAGACAAGGTGGGCCTCCCAGGAGTTATGGTGATAGCCAGAGAAAACTCAAGGCTTTCAAAAACCCCACTCAGTACCTTAATATTTTGACAGCTTATATCAGCAGTTTTTTCAACTGATCATTGATTGCAGCTTGGACTTCAGTCCTGCTGATTCAATAAAACATCACCGTCATAACAAGAGAATAAAAGGATCTTTTACTGCCTCTTGATCAAGCAGTTCTGTGGAGCTATACAAAGTTAGCTTTATTGTAGCATGTTAAACGAGTCCAGTTGACTGATTACCTTTTTTATTATTGTTTAGTTTCATTATCTGTCAATGTGTTGTTCTTTAACAGTTTTACTTGTTTACAAATATGCATTTATTCAGAGGAACATAATGGTGTCTTTCTAAATAGTAAAACAAGTTTTTATACATCAGTGTCACAAATAGCCTAATCGTGTATACAAAATCACAATGTTTCTTATACTAAATAGGGAAAGCACATATACAAAAAGTCAACTAGTGTCTGGATAAAACTATAAAACATATAAAAAAAATCTCATCATTTTGATCATATTTTGAATATCTTATATTCACTTGGTCTTCAATCCTACTTATGCTAAACATTCTTTTAAATTTACAGCAATTGCTGACCATCCAAGAGGAGTTAAACAATAAAAAATCAGAACTGGAACAAGCAAAGGAAGAGCAGTCCCACACACAAGCATTACTGAAAGTCCTCCAGGAGCAAGTAAGTGAAGGAAAACCACTTTGATTTACGAATCGATTCAAAGGTTCCAGACTCACACCCACACAAACATAACTGAGGCAATCTGTGGGGTAATTAGCCTGTACTCTGTCAAACCTCCCATCGGGTTTCCACATGTATAATTCTTAACATCTCTGTACATCATGTACCTACCAAACTACCCAAGCCTGCCTGTACTATGTGAATGCGTTTTCCAGAAGACAATGAATTTGGATGAAGTTTTAAAATATTGGCAGCAACATAAAAAAAAAAAAATCTCCTCTGCATCAGGGCACTTATCTGACAGTGGTGAGTGACAAACCTTTCACATGACTTTTATAAATCTAATCGTTTCATCCTGGCTTTCTTTGATATAAAAGTATGGCCTGACATTGATAAGTGGATGGGAAAGTACTGTCTTACAGTGGGGTAAGATGGATCACTTAGCAGGCAGCAGAGCGAAATCCAAGCCCCACTGTCTACGCTGGAGGAGCGAAGAGAGCCCTTGAAATGCTTTCCAATTCCTGACCTTCATGTTCTGCAGACAATGTAATGACTGCTAATTAGATGGTGGGAAAAATCGCAGATAGTAAATCCAACCCCTGCAGTCAACTCTAGGTTGTTTCACATTTTCACTCACTTATGGAAAGGTTATTTATAATGTATAAGTATCTTCAAAAGTGAAATTCTAGAAGAAATAAAATGAGAGCTGTGGCACAGCTGGTACTCAGTCTTTTCTAGCTTTCAATGATTTAGAATTTAAAAATATATTTTTTAGTTATTTTCCCCTGAAAGTTTAAGTGACTTGTGAGGAGCCTCAAAACAGGAGGGCAGCCTCCTCCGCACCCACAGACATAAAAATGTGTAAAATTTGGAAGAAATTTTTCCCAGTGATAGTGATTACATTAATTTGATTAATATAGATTGAGTAACATACAGTGAGGCTGAATCTGCATGATTCAGAACTGAAAAGTCTAATTGACTAAATTCACTCTGTCTTGGAGACTTGAAATCACCATTCTCCATCCTTGTCACTACCATGAGACTCCTAGCAAAGTAGAACTCATTTGGTTCAGTTTGCTCCAGATCAGACATACAGCTTGTGTTTTTGTTGTTTTCTGCTCCCTCCTGCTTCTTTAAAAAAAATAGTGTTCACTGAAGTGGGGAAGGGTGAATTTCCCTTTCCTCTAAATGACTCAAATCCTTTATTTTTATTTGAAGCCCAAACTTCAGTCATAAAAACAGATTCTGCATTGTGCAGAAAGTATTGATACATTCTTGCTATGGCATGCATTTCTAAAGAGCAGTGCACCTACACAGATGTTAGTGGGATGCATACTTTGCTTTCCATGACTAATAAAGGAGATTATGAAGAGGATTCAGAACAACAAAATCATTAGAGACCTAGAAAATACCACTAAATAAGGAGTGTTTTCAAATCTGCGGTAGTTCCTTTAAAGCATAGGCACTAAGAGTACCTAAGTCTCAGGGGACCAGTGGTACACAGCAGCCAAAGGCAGTTGGGTATTACTGCCATGACCAAGCTATTTGCCTGTGAGCCCCTTGCCTGGTGCCCGGATGGTCCTTACGGAAGGCAGTGTAGTTCCTTCCATATCCTTGCAGCCTCCTCCCCACCCACAGACATACTGCAAAAATCGTACGTCTCACTTCCACAAGCATTGTATAATGATGCTATCTTTAGATTTAGAGTAACTACATGTATAAACACATTTTTATGCCTGCACGCATATGGCTTTAACAAATGGACACACACGTGCATGCACACACACACAAGAAAAGATACATCCTTCTCTGAAGACATAGAATTTTTCTATTCAAAGCAACAGCCACTTTCTAGGAATCCTGACCAGAGGCTAGGTCGTGAGGACAGACCGGTCTCCAGTGTAGTGACCTCCTCTAGGGGAGGCCAAGAAAGGTTATTCATTCCCTCTGCTCTCCAATTTGCTGAGATGCAGTTTGCTGAGATATAGCATCCCTAGGTCCCTCCAACTCCTGCCTTTCATCTCCTTGAGGATTCAAAACTTGTTTATCAACACGAGATTCATGAAACAAGATAGATGTTTATCCCCAGCTTGGGGAGAGGAGCAGCTGGAAATAGGAACAGGGAGTTGTCCACAAAGGTAGAGAAACAGGACTTGGAGCTTCAGCTGCAAGGGTAGGTGCCTGCAGCAGGAGGAGGAGGAGTTGCATATGGATTTCTGACAGAAGAAAGCAAGCAGTGAACAATACCTACAGACAAAAGGAGAGGAGAGTGAGTGAGTGTCATAAAGAGAGAGGATATTTGAAGGATAATGTGGACTAGGAAAAGGGAATTTATTTAAAGTAGATAAGGAAGTAACTGTCTCATTTATGCTGGTAAGCACATAAAAGTTTGAACAAGCTATAACAAACGGTCCCTCCCTTCTGCTGCAGAAGAACAGAGCTTCTTCTGAGCTAACTTTACTCCAGCTCATTGAAGCACAAGTATCAGGACCAAAAGTGTGATGAGCAGAGAGAGTGTGGGTGAGGAAGAAGATGAGAAACACCCCAGTAAGAAACCTTAAGCTAGTTTTTTAGGTTCTTTTGTGCACTCTGATAATAGATAGTATCTCTATCACTGAGTGCACCTTTTTCTACACATAGATATAGATATAGATATATAGATATATATGGGTAGATGTAGATATATAGATATATTTATATCTATATATCTATATATCAGACACTGCTCATTGCTCTATGCTTGTTAGGCATAGAAACATCTATGATGCTGCTCTGAAGAGTGGGCAACTTTTTTGTTAAATGGGTTGATGTGACTGTGAGACAAAGAGCCTTGTATCCATAATTAGCTGCCCTTAGGGATTTAGCTCAGTGGTTCTGCTGCCTGCCTCGCAAACAGAAGGTCCCGAGTTCAATCCCCCCGTACCAAAAAACATAATTAGCTGCCCTATCCTCAAATTCTTTGTGTCACTATTTCTTTAGCACGGTCCCTTTCTTAGTATGGAGAGGGTTTGGCTTTCTTACTGAGAGTTCAAGATTGCCTCCAAAATACTGAAGATGCTTTTGTTTCAGTGTGCACAAATAGCCAGAAAAAAAAAAAAATCAGTGTTCACAATCAAACATATTGGTGATATATATATGAATTTAATTTTGCTCAAATTTTAGATATTTCTTATCATGAATATTTTATTTTAGGCAGAAAAAGGTAAAGGATATGCAGCTTCATAAGCATCATAAGCTGAGAAAAAAATTCTAGCGAGCAGCTACAAGACTAGCTCTCCTTTTCCTTTGCTCTCTGTTCTGAGTCAGGACAGGATAAAATGCCAATTAACTATTTCCTGAAGTGTCCTTATATCTGATTACTCTTAAGCCTTTGAGAAAGAGGAGAGTTTTCAAATGTTCTCTGTTAAAAATCTTATTTGAGAAATAGCTTTTCTTCTAATGCTCCAGTGGCCAAGAAGATATCTTTCTAGCTCTTCCTCTATGAAAAAAAGAAAATCATCTTAGCCTTTTAGGTCCAGAGATGATGTCAGCCATTCTAATATGTTCTCAAGAAAGACATGTACGGTAGCACTGCAGCATGTTCAAATGGCTGAAAAATCCATCATTCACAAATAATCGTTAGTATAACATCATTTAGCTGGTGGCAACTTGCAAACACCGCAGGGTTTAAATTAATAGCAATCCAACTAGGAAATGAAATCATTTATTATTCTAAGAACCAATTTTATACATTTTATGCCTATGGAACTGCTTTCTAATCTTATTATTTAAAAAATAATGACCAAGACCCATTGTTTTTTTTTGCAAACTCTAAAGCTTCATAAAATATTGGTCTCAAACTGGTTTCACTAAGACTCATTAGAATTATGTGGTCCATCTGTTTTCCCTCACTGGCAGTTGTATAAAATGCAACCTCAGAAAATCACATTAACAAGATGATATATACTTAACAAATATGCTTGCTTATTCATTTTTTGTTTGTTTTTCTTTAAAATTTACAGTTAAAAGGTACCAAGGAATTGGTTGAGACCAACGGCCACAACCATGAGGATGCAAATGTAGGTACCATAAACCAGAAATTTGCTCTTTTCGCTGAATGTTGCTTGAACCCATGGGGATGTGGCCCTTTGTTTCTAATATCAAGGAAATCAGAAGCTCTGCATTTCATCAGCATTATTATATACACTCTGTCCAAAAAAATGTGGTAAATTGGCCCTGGCGTTTTCAGTTAGTTTACCATATGTCAGTTTAGAAGTACTTAAACTAATCACCATCAGAAATTCTAATCTCAGTGGATTTGTTTGAGCCTCTGTATTTCCAAAGCTATAAAGTAATGGTGTATTGGGAGACCAAATGGAATGGAATGACAGTAATAAGTGTAAATTGCATATAAGGTGGATCAAAATATACAGATATTTTAAAAATTTATTACAGTAAAAGCTATTATTACCATTTTGTTCCTCACAATGCTCCCTTCTTTTGAAGCATACCTATCCCATCATTCTTGCCACTTTTTTAAGTAGTTCTGAAGTTCTCTTTTGTGAGTGTCTTTATAAGGTGTGATCAAAAATACAGGGACTGCTACTGCCAAATATCATCCAATGCAAAGGCAAGCTTGTAAAAACATTACTATGTGTATTCTCATTCACTTCATTCTCTGCTTACGGCACCCTGCAATTTCTGGCTCTTGCTCTAAGTCAAAAAGACAATGAAAGGTAAAGGTTTTGAATTAGTTCAGAACATTGCAGCAGCCACAACATTGCAACAGGGCAAATCCTCACAAAAAAGCACTTCCAGAACTGCTTCTGAACGTGGCAAGGAAGATGGGATAAGTATATTCAAAGTAAAGGGGACTTTTTTGGGGAGGGAGTTAATAGCAGTATTTAAAATTTTAACATTCATTATGTTTTTATCACATCTCCGATGCTTTCCGATGAAGATAATAATTGAATGATTGACATTCACGAAGAGATCTCAGAGCCTTCTCCAAGAATAGCCCTTGAAATTGTACTTCTCTTTTGTTTCTGACTCAAAACAGTATCATCATGCTTCAATCTTCTTGATAGTACATAAGGCAGTGGTGGTGAACATATGGCACACGTGCCACAGTGGGCTCTTTGTACCATTGAAAGCTCTAAAACGTTCGCCATCACTGGTATAAGTTATGATGGCCAAAGATCCCAGTTAGCACCATGACTTACTTCCTCTACTGGTGTTCTTTATTTGAATGTCAAATTGCCAGAAAGGAAACAAGCATGCATGCTTTAGAGGCTCATGATTAATCTCCAATGGAATGTTATGCCTTGCATATCATTGTCTTTCCTTATGTTAGATAGTTTTGTTATTTTCCTTTGTTAGGTATCTGTGATAATCTGTGCTTATTTGATTAGTCTCATCGCAGGAAATGCTTACTAAGCAGTTCTTTTCACGTAACACAGAATCAGACATGGTGATGAATGCCTGATTAAGCTAGGGCCAGGAGAAATTATATATTTCATGTTCACTCTTGTTTTAATTATATACAACAGAGATCCTAATAATCAAAGTGCTCAAAAACTCTCTTCATAGTTACTATTCCCACCTAACAGATCCTTAACATAGGATACTGATTGAGGCCTCACTGTGTCCATGGCACTCTGCTAATTTCTAAGGGGTAGGGGCTGGGATTCCAAAGAATCATAAGGCTTTTTGTCTGGCCTCAAGGACCTTACACTCGAGCTGGAGAATTAAGGATCTTATTGGTGACATACAGGGTGTGAAGCATTCAGGAGGGTGAGGCAGCTATAACACAATGTAGTTTGAAATTGTACTTTATTGCTCATTAACTGTGCCACCTTGACAAGTTTCCTGACCTCTCTGAGCTTCATTTTCCTCGTGTGTAAAAGGAAGGACAAAACCTCTCTTAAAAACCTATAAATAGCCTAAGGCCTGTGAAAGCCTTGAGGCATTTTTATTGTGGCTTCTTTGTGCTGGATAATCAAGAAAGATTTCCTGGTCTGTGGGATTTGGGTTTGACTTTGATTAATGGATAGAATGGAAGTAAGAAGCCATTCATGTAGTGTACCCTACTGGCAACATTGTGACATACCTAATCTTTCTAACCCTATAGTTCAACAGCCTCTCCCTCCCCTAAAGCCCTTCTTCAGGATCCTGTCTTCTAGGGACATGTTGCTGCCAGATTCTCAACCAAAATTTCATACCCATTCCACTCAAGGCCAGACCCTCTGTGCCTTCCAAGGAAGCTGCTGTGTAATTCATTAAAACAGAAGAAGTAGAAACATGCCTCAGTTTCCTGGTCTATAAAATAGGAATGAATTTCTTGTCTTCCTTAAGGATTCTGGTGAGAAGCAAATGAGACAATGAGTGTGGAAGCTCTTTATAATTGTGAGGTTCTGTCTCAGTAAGAAGTTGTTCTGATCATAAACTCAGGGGCTGATTGAATTAAGTGAAATAACACATGCAGAGATAGGCCTAGCCCAAGCTCTTTACTTGAGAAATGTTATCAAATGGAAACACTGAAAGGAGGTCATCTTTGAGGTCTTTTGTCTCTTCTAGAGGAAAGTTTTTAGATTTGAAAGATACCTCTCTAAGGTCGATGAGATAGAGGTAGACTTTGTAATCATCTTTAAAAATGACGGTGGAGACCCAATAAACTCAATTAAAAAAAAAAATGACAGTGTAGAGATGGGCTCCTGACAGGGAAGGAGGAAAGCAGCGGCGTAGCCAAGGGCCAAAGAGGCACTTGGAGAGTTCACAAGCCTCACAACCCTGGCCAGTCACAGTGGATGGCCACTTCTCCTACTGGCCAAAGGCCAGGCTGTTTTTTACTGTCTCTGCTTAGTTTGTAACGGGCTTCCCTAGGTCTAGATTATTCATTTGCCCTCCCCTTTTCTGTCTGTAATTTCAACTCCTTTTAACAGTTTCTCTGGCACCTCCACTAGGATTGTGTGAAAGCCAAGAAACTTTTAAAAGTTAGTGATTGGGCCACACATAAGATCTAGCAAAATAATTTGTGAAGATATTTTTAAATTTCAGAAATGAATTCATCTCATCTGGAGTTTGCACCAGCCCTGCAGGGGTTGAAAGAGCAAACCAGAACAAGAGAGATTGCATCCAGTTTGATCACTAAGTAATCATGTGACTGAGTCACCTGACCCTTGTAAAACCTCACCTCCTTCATTTGTAAGTGCATCAGGGGCACCATATGCATGAACACCTGGCCTAGAGTGCACACCCGACTGGTATCCATTCCGCCTTTTTGCATCTGTGGTATTCAATCCAGAAGGTAGGACATAGGCAGGATGTGCTTTAATGCAGATTATGAGGTCTAAACCTCTGGCCCAGAAGCTATTGACTGAGTTGTATAGATATTTTTCACTATAATTATTCACATCTAGGGACAGAAATTTTTATACATTATCATTTATTAATAATAATTATATAGTAGCTTAGCACCAAATTAACTGGATATTCTTGTGAGAGTTGACAGTGCTTTTTAAAAATAATGAATCTCATATTTTAAAAAACATTTGAAGTTTGCACATTACAGAAAAAAATATAGAGGCAAAGAAAAATAACTTAGTATCGCATTGCTCAGAAAAAAAATACTATTGACATCTTATTTTAGTTTTTTCCTATAATGTACATGCACATGACCAGAGGGAAACACCTACAAATAGATATTAATTATATTTTTTATATATTTATATATTATACTTATTATATTGGATAAATATTATTATATTGATTGTTTTGTACTGTTTTGATTTCTCATTATAAGTATTTTTCTTGATAATGTACATACATGACCAGAGGGAAACACCTACAAATAGATATTAATTATATTTATTATATATTTATATATTATACTTATTATATTGGATAAATATTATTATATTGATTGTTTTGTACTGTTTTGATTTCTCATTATAAGTATTTTTCTTGCCGTTAGATATTCCTCAAAGTGTGATTCTTTTTTTTTTTTTTTTTTTTTTTTTTTTTAACCCCGGCCCAAAGATGTGATTCTTAATGGTTATGTAAGGTAGATATAAAATTATTGGCCAGTATGTGTTAGACTTTTACCATTTTTTGCTATTATAAATAATGCAATAATAGGCCCTTAAATGTTGGTTATTTTCTCATATTTGTTTCTGGATAATTTGTATGTTAATAGCTGTGTCTGTCTTGGCATTCAGCAGGGAGTTCCAACTTCTGGAATAGCTTGGAATTCCAAATACTAGTGAGCATGACAGCTGCACTCTAAAGGCATCCATTAGTTGTCCCAAAAGTGATCCACCAAAAGATTTGTCAGCATCATCTTGCCACTTTCACTTTGTCCTAGTCCTGAGTCATCTAGCTTATGATGTGTTGCTATTACTTTTCTGTAGGTTTTGCATTTTAGTGAACACCAACTGACTTTGTCTAACACCTGGCCCAGCATTCTTGAGTTCTCAAAGCAAACATACCCTACAAAGACTCCTTTCCTCACATCATAAGATTTTCTGGTAGGTCATGCCCAGAAGAAGTTTTCTGAAGAATAATTGAAGACCATTACTGCCAGAAACTGAAGTCAACTGAAGGCCTTGTTCTTCAAGAGAACTTACATAGTTCTGGCTCAACTATTACTGACTTTCAGTAGGTTTTTTTTTTTTTTTCTTTGTATTTGGACCTGAATATATTAACGATCCATGGTCATTCCAACCTTTACATGTACCCAAGTCTAAAACAAACCTTCCTCCTAATTCCTTTAGGGATTTCAGTTATGCCAATTTCTATCCTAGAAAGCAAAGCTATAATTTTCCTTTTAATATCTATCTCTGATCTGTCTCCTGATCCCTAAGATTGCTAAATAACCAGCATCAGCTTTGACAATTATGTATAACAGATATCAAAATTTTAAATTACAAAACAGATGATCTGTCCCCATTTTGATGACCTTCTTTCTAGCAGTATCACACCCCTGAGCCTAATATGGGTGATTGGACAGCAAGTTGAGGGAAAGGCAGGGTGGAAGAGATGCAAGAACAGGTATGAGGCAAAAGACAAACTGGCCCCTGAA